CGGGCGCGGAGAGCCGCGGGGGCCTGGGTCTGAGCCCGGGCGCCCTGAGTTTCCTGTGCGCGAACCCTCCTGTCCTCACCAGCCTCCTTCAGAGGCGCGTCCGTCCGGAGGTCACGAAGTCAGCCATCGAGCTGAGATCCGAGCTCAGTTCTGATCCCTGTTCCCAATCTTCAAAAACGGCGAAACCCGCTTCTCATTTAGGTACCATGCGGCCAAGTGTTAGAGGCTTTATTCTCCTCGTTAGCACAAGAGCCAAGCACGTCACAACCTGTTCGAAAGACAGTCGTAGAAGAGACCTGGGTATAGATCAGGAATATTAAAATAAATAGGCAACTCAGGCAGACTCTATTCTTCTGGCGGGGAGGGGGGGTCCCGGACCTGTGGACAAGTGAGTTCGCACATTGTGGAAAGATGGGGATGTGAGCAGGGATGTGGGAGTCCATGGGACACAGCTTCCCTGTGCTCCGAGGGCCCCAGCTCGCCGGGCCTGGAGCACCCAGAGCTGGCACCGCCCCACATTGTGGGCACAGAGTTCGCAGTAAAGGCAGGAGGAAGGGGCCTGAGCCGCAGGAGGACGGGACCAGGGAGGCCAGAGATCAGCTTCATCTTTACCAGCCTATTGCCTTTTTGCATCTAAGAAAACACCTGTGAAACATCCGGGTAACAGCTACTCTTCAGAACACAACAGATGGCACCGGGCGGAAAGCACAAGTTCCCTCATTGTTATTGTTCTGTCCTGTTCATTGTCCGCTGTGAACGGTCCGTGCCCACCTGTGTGAAAGAAGCATGTGTCCATCATTTCACTCTATCCAATCCCAGAGCTCCCCGCGTTGCTTTCTCCCGCCTCCCTAATCTATCACCAATGGATTTCATGTGACCCACTGACGTCTCCTCCTTCGATGGTAATTTCTACAACAAGGTGAAAAGCTACCTTCTCCGGCGCATTATCCTAATGCCTTGAGATCCTGCTCCCTGGCGATTGTCAACCGTTTGGCTCAAATAAACTCACAAAAATTCTTTACAGGTTTGAATGCTTTTTGCATTAACTTGGTCATGTGAATAAGGGGGTGGGGCCATGCGAACATGGGGGCGTGGCCACGTGAACGAGGGGGGTGGGGTCACATGAACTCGGAGGAGGGTCATGTGAGGACGGAGGCTGAGATTGAAGGGATGCAGCCAGGAGCCAAGAAGCCCCGGGAGCCCCCAGCAGCTGAACAGGCAGGAGGGACCCCCCCTGGAGCCCTCCCAGGGAGCCCAGCCCCCGACCCCCCGATTTCAGATTCTGGCCCCACAACGGGGAGAGCCCCTGTTCCTGCTGGGTTAGGCCGGTCTTAGTCATCGGAGCCGCAGCCCCAGGAAACAGGCCCCTCCTTGCCCCTCCTTGTGGGGCTTTGAGCGGGTTCCTGGAACAGCTGAGCCCTGTGATCCGCAGGGGGACCCCGAGACCTCTCACTGCGGGGCTCACAGGGAGCCCCATCCCTGTGTCTGTGCCTCGGCCCTGCCTCCCGCTCCCCCCGGGGGCTCCTGGGCAGTGAGAGCAGTGGGCACAGCAGGCGGCTGCTGGGAGGGAAGTGCAGACCACGTGCCTCAGGTCTCCCCAAATGAACTTGGCCAGGAAGGGCCTGGCGGCTGAGAGCTGGACCCCTAGGCCCTCCTGGGTGTGACCTGCAGCTCTGTGGCCAGCTCGCTGGCTTTCACCCTAGCCTCTCTCCCGGAAGCTGCCGGAGGTGGAAGAGGAGGGAAGCGGGAGCTGGGGAGGGAGGGGGGCAGGAGCTGCCTGTTCTCAGAGCTCCACGGGGAGGACCCAGAACCTGGAACAGGAGGAGGGTGGGAGAGGCCCAAACAGACAGAGGGTCAGAGCGTCGGAGGGTACAGCAGGGGAGAGGAGGCAGGGGAGGGGAAGGCAGGGGAGAGGAGGTTTCAACACTTGCTGCCTGGATGGGGGAAGGGGGGGGTGCCTGGCAGGAATGGCTTCATGTGAGAGGGCACATGTGTGGGTGAGTGAGCGAGTGAGCATGTGCACAGGCGGGGGGCGGGGGGGAGGGTGAGGCTCATAGGGACGCAGCTGGCCCGCATCCACCGCCCACGCTGACGACAGCCTCTATTATGGTTGTGGACTTTGCACTTTAAAAGGCCCCAGGGCTTCCATAAACCTGAGCTGAGCATGGGGACCATGACTAAGGCCTTGGCCAGGCTGCGGGAGGACCGGTCACTCAGGAGCAGGGGACCGTGGTCCCAGGAGGACAGAGATCGCAAAGACCCGGGCAGTTTGCAGGGGCGTCCAGCTCGGCGCCTGTGTCAGGTGAGCACAGAAGATGCAGGGTCATTGTTTGGGCTGCATCGAACCAGGTGTTCCGAGCGCTCGCCTGCAGGTGAGAGGTGACCATAAATCAACAAACATTCCCTCTCTCCTTAAAACTGAAACATCGTCCTTAGAGAGACTCTAAATGGGCCTCCAGCCCTGGCTGGTTTGGCTCAATGGATAGAGCCTGCAGACTGTTGGGGGTGGGGGGGGGGGGTCCCGGGTTTGATTCTGGTCAAGGCCATGTACCTTGGTTGCAGGGTCCTCCCTGGCTCAGGCCCTGGTCGGGGCGCGTACAGGAGGCAACCAATCGATGTGTTTCTCTCACATCAGTGTTTCTCTCTGTCTTTCCCTCTCTCTTCCACTCTCTCTAAAAATCAATGGAAAAATATCCTCAGGTGAAGATTAAAAATAATAACATAAAAAATAATAATAAATGGTCCTCAGGTCCTGCTCCGCCTCTGGGGGGAATGGGCCAGGGCCGCCCTTCTCCGCTCCTCTCAGTAGGTTGGCCTCTGGTCTAGGAGGCAGGGAGGCACAGGGAAGAGCCGGGCTGCTGCACTGGCCCATTAGCTGTCTGCCCAGCAGGCCCCTGTGGCTACCGGTCTCTCTGGGGCTCCAGACCCCCCTGAGGCCTGGTTGGGCCCCCGAGAGCCCTAGACTTGGAGGGTTTCCAGGTAGAGCACAGGACACCCAATTAAATTTGAATCCCAGATAAACAGCAAACGAAACCTGGGACACGCTTACACAATCACTCTCGTTTGTCTGAAATGCCAGTTGAGCCGGGTCCCGTATTGGCTAAACCTGGCCGCCCTTCCTATAAGTCCACGCCTCGGCCTCACTGCAGGCCGCCCTGCAGGCCTCTGTCCACCCGAGCGCAGGCACCAGGTGGGCTCGGGAGAGCTGACCTCCACTGTGTCACCAGCCTGGCGTTGCAGGTGGCCTCGGGTTACCTGCATTGGCTGCTGCGCCTGCCACTCAGCCTGGCCCAGCGAGGGCGTCTGGGCTCACAGCTGTCTGTGCTGCCTTCCTCCAGCCTCTCCCTTCCAGCCTCCCACGATGTCCCGGGACCGGAAGCTGAAGCAGGTGGAGTGGCCATCACCGGCACCTGCTCCAGGGCTGTTGCTATGTGGAAAGGTGAGGCCGGAACTACTGTTCCCAATGTCCCTCTCGCCCCTTCCTTTAGGGAGAGAAGCCTCGCCATTTATTTTTTTTAATATATATTTTATTGATTTTTTACAGAGAGGAAGGGAGAGGGATAGTTAGATGAGAGAGAAACATCGATCACCTGCCTCCTGCACACTCCCTACTGGGGATGTGCCCACAACCAAGGTACATGCCCTTGACCGGAATCGAACCTGGACCCTTCAGTCCACAGGCCGACGCTCTATCCACTGAGCCAAGCCGGTCAGGGCAAAGCCTCACCATTTAGCTGCCCGCGGGCTGCCCAGGTGAAGACAATGTCCCCAGCAGCCCTGGCAGCTTACAGGGTCCATTTGAGCAAGTTCTACTTCAGCCACGGACGGAAGTGACTGGAGTGGCTGTGGTGGTGGTGGTGCCTGCAAAACAGAGGGGTGTGCCCTCCACTTTTGAGCACAGACTCGCTCCACCACGCTACACGGCAAACTACCACGCTACAGGGCAAACTACGATGCTACATGGCTAACTGTCATGATACACGACTAACTACCACACTACACAGCTAACTACCACGCTACACGGCTAACTGTCATGATACACGGCTAACTACCACACTACATGGCTAACTACCACGCTACACGGCAAACTACCACGCTACACGGCTAACTACCACGCTACACGGCTAACTGTCATGATACACGGCTAACTACCACACTACACGGTTAACTACCACGCTACACGGCTAACTACCACGCTACATGGCTAACTACCACGC